GAGTAATCGCGGCAGTACCATAGAGTATGGGCAATGCGGATGCGTTGCGTCGCAACGGCGGTCTTGCGTTCGGGATGCCGATCACAGCTCTGACGGGTCGTGCTTTTGCAGTTGCTCTCCGTAATCGGTGGCTTGCGATCCGACAAACGTGTCGTAGTGAGCCAGGATCTCGTCCATCGAGAGTTTGCCGTCCTGAAATCGACCATAGGTGGCAGTTCAGAGTGACCCTTGTCTCCCAAGAACTTACCTTGTTGTCGTCGGCGATGCCTACCAAGTGACGAGCCTCAGCCTCAGCATGGTCAAATCCAACTGGCATGATCCAGTCCCTCATCTCATCCTGTGAAGACCAAGATTCATGTGAAATTAGTACGCGAACACTCACCTGATTCAACTTGCCATCCCCATCCTTGTCCCGGTGTTCTTTGAACATCTCGCGTTCCGATGCTACCCAGTCCGGTTCCTTGAAAGAACGTTGAACTAGCTAGTATGTAAAGTGAAAGAAAAATAAGTGATCCACCTTTCCGTTGAGTTCGGGGTAGTCTTCTGGTCGGTACATATCACCGATGTACTCCTCAAGGTCTACGAAACCGTCTTTGTTTTTGTCAATGTCTTCGACGGTCTCCTACAACAGGCATCGCAACTGACTAGATATGAAAAGTGAAATGATATCGTAAAAAGATAAGCAAGCTAGTTTATAAGTGAGCTGTTCGCAAGACTAATTGAAATCCCAGGAAACCATTATGATAGAGACCAGAGACAGGCCAACGATGATTTGATGACAACAACTTCTGACTTTAAAGGCAGTGTCCAGGCAAGAAATCGATTTTGAGATTTTGTGCTTGCTCGGACCCTCGCTGTGCTGACTCCGAAAATCAAGAAGCACGTGAAAACGGCGAAGAGGGCTGAAATGCAAGATTGAAAACGCAGATGGGCAGGGTTCCCCCTACTGTGGACTCACGCTTCCAGCTCTCGGAGCGATCGTCTCGATTCCGATTTCAAGTCATGCTTTCGCACTTGGCCGATGGCGATGTCAGGGTAGTTATCGGAATCGAGAAGATAGTCCCGGAAGTTGGGAGCGTGAATCCACAGTGGGGATGACCCCGCCCCCTGCCTTTTCCCTCCCGCGTGAGAGCCCTTCTTTACCGTTTTTGGGCTCTCCAGTGTGAGTTTTCGGATTCAACAAGCGAATAGGCCCGGGTAGGCATAAAAT